CTCTGCCCCATGGGCTTGCATCCCCCAGAATCGATGGACGAGTGCAGTGGAGAACCCGGCCATGGACCTTCGGCACCCACCAGGGCCAGTGCACCAACATTCCGGGAGGTCACCCGCTGCCGGTGCTATGATGGCTTCGTGCCACCACGACCAATGAACATGCACGGCAGCGGGGGCGTTGCTGGGTTAAAGAAGCCCAGTCGTGCGACCCCAGCGCTGGGGGTGGAGGGCAGTCTGTGCGTTTGAATCCTAGGCACGCCTCCACACTTCTCGCCAAACGCTACAAGCGACCCCCCTCAGGTGCTAGTCCTGGCTAGAGATTGAATCCGGGTCCGCACAAGTCCCCTGCCACACGGCCCTTGCGCCCTCTCAGCAGGGAAAAGAGACAGTTGAGGGGGCGAGTGACACGCCACGGTGTGAATGTGCTGCTGATGGGGGTACTTCCCCGGGACCCAACTGAGAGCCCAACGGCGAAATCTCAGAGATCCTTTCCGCCCCGCGGTAAGCTCAGGGTGCTTGTGGCATGCCCTGACTGCAAGTGACTGTAGCCTCAGCTGGTTGCGCATGGGGAGAATGGGGGCGAGCAGCACCTCTCAAGGGGTCCCGCATGTACCCTCTCCTGCGAAAAGTCCAGGCCAGTATTGTTTAGAGTTACCACCGTGGCTACAATGCCTAAACTGTCTCTTTCCTGCGCTAGCTCCGACAGGGAGGGGGAGCCCTCCCCAGGGTTACCTTATTGAGAGGCCGACATGCCCCGGGTCCTTACGGAAGATGTGCGTGCAGATCAATGCCCGACCCGCGGTGCTTTCGAGACTCTCACCTACAGACTACAAGACGGGTTGTTTGCAGACCGCCAGCCGCGGTCTCGACATCAGACTGTGTGCGTGTAGCCAAAACAGGCAGCGCTTATGCACTCACTCCCCAGGTCGTATGGGTTCGTGTGTGGCGATGCACTGTCACCCTCACCCTGGGAAGAACACACAGGTTCATCTCAGGGCGAGCCCTGAGCGAGGACAGAGCTGAGGGTGACTTGACCCGTCCCCTATCAGTCGCCGCGAAAAGTCGTTTGAAGTGCGCACTTTGGGCAACCTTGTGATTTTCACAGCAGAGTGACACGGTAACGAGAGTGTTCATACCCCTTGCCCACTCCCCGAAGATGTTCCCTACGTATTCTGCATGGCCCAGGTGGGAGAAGCCATGGTAAGATGGGGCTATGTCTGGGGCTCGACAGAAAGGACGACTCAGGGGAGTCATCCACAGAGAGAGAGAGAACAACTGTGGTGGGGAGTGGAACAGAGAGAGATGTCCCACAAGAGACATCTATGAGGATGATCTAGCTGATCGGCTCACACAGGTGAGCCCGGAATAGCGACGAGAGTCACAGTAGCGCGATTGAGCGAAGAGGGCGTACTGAACAAGGACGCGTGAGGTCTATGAGGCCAGAGAAGACGTGTGGAGCGCGCAGGAAGCTCTGACAGTATAGGCCGCGCATGTAAGATCAGGTAGTGGTCTGGGACGGCGATCGAGAGAAAGTTCGCTATGTGTGAACAAATCAACGAGCCACCCATTGTGGTGTGAGTTTGATCAGGTGTGGATGAGTGACAGGCACGTGACGAATTGGCGAGCCCAGGAGAGCATTGACTGGCTGTGGCGGAGCCCAGGGTGCGCGGAGAGCGGGAGTGAAGGCGGTCTCGGTGACCCAGAGGCCCTATGGAGGGAGCCGCGCGAGGAGAGAGGGACGGCGCCCAGCAAGTGTCGAGTAGGGACCCAAGAAGTGTGTGACGAGGTGACTCAGTCTCCCATCTTCGCGCATCATGCCGCGGGCTGCGAGGGGGTGACACACCCGAACACTCGACGCACAGCAGCCCTGAGCCCAGGCGCCTCTACGCCCATCAGGCACCCGCCTGAGCAGACCGTAGGAACGAGACATGGTGGCCCACTGGAACCTGACCAGGCACAGGAGCCAGGCACCTGGCGCCCACAGTGCGATGAGAGGGAGCAGCGAGTGGCAGGAACACCAGAGGCTCCTTGTCACAGAGAGGACACCAAGACAAACACATATAACACAAGACAAGACAACCAGCGTGGGCTGCCTCCGGTGTAGCAGTGAGGTCAGAGGTGCAGGCAGGGGGGGCACCCGGAGGGGCCTGCCTCCAAGGTGCGGCGGCATCGTGCCCACTAGTGGGGTAAGAGCTAGGCCGAGAATTCAAATTTTACGCATTCCCACTGACAGAGGTCTCGTGTGAAAGCAAAAACAGGGCAGGTGCGTGGCTCATGCCTATAATCCCAGCAACTATTGGGGCCGAGGCAGGAGGCAGGAGTTTGTAACCAGCCTGGCAAGTACAACCCCATCTCTTACAAAAATAATTAAGAAAAGAAACCATTAGCTGGGCAAGGGTGGTGCGCTCGCTATAGTCGCCAACTGCTTGAAGGCTGAGGCGGGAAGGTCACTGGAGCCCAGGAGTTTCAAGTTACAGTGGAGTGTGGGGACAATTCTAGCCTCCCTCCAAGTTATGCAGTTATTTGTAATTTGTCTAGAAACAAACGTTGCATAACAGAGCAGGTCAAACGTGGCTTCTTTTTTTTTTTCTTTTTTTTTTTGAGACAGAGTCTCGCTTTCTTGCCTAGGCTAGGGTGAGTGCCATGGCGTCAGCCTTAGCTCACAGCAACCTCAAAGCTCCTGGGCTCAAGCAATCCTCCTGCCTCAGCCTCCCGAGTAGCTGGGACTACAGGCACGAGCACCGATGCCCGGCTGATTTTTATATATATATAATTAGTTGGCCAATTAATTTCTTTCTATTTTTATGGTAAGAGACGGGGTCTCGCTCAAGT